CACAAAGTGCAGCTTTACTGACCATACAGATATTGCTCTAAAGTACAGTTTCTGTCAGTTCATTTTTTTTAATGTTAAGCAATCTGTGCAGATAAATCAGCTTTGGTTTGAAAGTCAGAATAGATAAGGAGTTTGAAATAACCGTTTAGCTTCTTGGTCACAAGTTCTCCATATTCATTCTTTTCTTTCTTTAAAAAACAAAACAAAATGAAGAATCCAATACATCCCATTGCAGTCTCTGCCATCTGTCCTGTTGCATGTATTCTGCATGAAAAATAGATCTCTTTTGCATGCTTCATAAGTGACTCTGGTGACCATCCAGTAGATTTTGGGAACAAGATACTACAACCTATTGCTACATGGCCTCCATTCTCTTCAAGGGAGCAGGCTCTGGAGCCTTGCAGAAGTGCCATTAAAATGAAGGGAGGATATGTAACAATCATATTTCTGTACTGCACCCAGCAACATATAAGATCAATATATAAATATATAATATAAATTATAAGTTAATTTATATTATAGTTAAATGAAATTATTTCTTTTTTAACTTAAGGGAACTAGTTTAACAACAGTTTGGTACGCTTGTAAAGCTGTGGAACTTTAAATTAATTAAAGTTAAAAAAGAAACACTTTCTCAACAATAAATAAAACAATGTGCCCCACCCATATAAGTTCAAACTGGAAACAAGCAAACTGCATGACAAAAAGCTTAATATAAAATGTTACTGAAACATTTTTTCTTACAGTTAAACATTTACATGGAAATTAGTTTCTATTTTTATTTTAAATTAATTCAGTGTTGCTCATTAACTGGGTACAAGTAGAGTGCTGAGGTAAAACATTTATGAACAGTTTCTGTTTTTTTTTCTTTTTTTAAAATAGTAACATTTTAGTATTGCAAGATTGTCAGCAACATTTAGCCATATCTATACATTGTGCATATACCTACATACAATGAGCTTTGGTCCAGCTTTGAGAAGATGAGCAAAGGCATTATACATTTTTTTTTGGGTTATAGCTTGAGTACTTTGACACGCCTCTACTTGTTCCTTCTTAGCTCCTTTTTCCTTTCTTTGTTTATTTACTTCTTTGTGTGATTATAACATAAATTGAAAAGTTCTAAATGAATTTGATATTTTTCTGTTCATTTGAACCTGTACACTCAACATGTAAGCATTTTTGGCATGATACTGTCTCAAACACTGAAGCGATGCTGCTATACAGTGATGCAATGCAGGAGTTTGTGACAAAGCTGTATATCTCATTATGTAGTGCATCTCATGGATTTGCAGAGAAGGGAGAAAACTGTAGGATTAGACTTTTACTAGCAAAAGAGAAAATGACATATCCAGGAACAAAGCACAAAATTAATTTAACAATATGTGTTACAATTATTTAATTCCTGTTCATTATTTGAACTGAATTCAGAAAATGTATAATTGATAGATCACTAACATAATATTAAGTCCAGATTAGTATTTTATGAATAAACTCCTCCCTGAATTCTTGACTGCTTAGCATAGTTATGAAAGAAGAGTTAGAAAACTTTCATTTCACTGTCATAACCACAAACTGCTGTGTCCATTTGAACTTGGGCAAATTATACAATCATTTATTTTCACTCAATATTTTAGTAGAAACAAATGAAGCTTAAATCAGAATTTTTGAAGCTGAAACTTAATTGAATAATTAAGATTAATTGGGAAGCAGAAGAGACAGACATCATGATCTCCGGGACTTAAAATATATTACCCACTTAGCTTTCGTTAGCCTCTGCTAACATCGTCAGAGTGTAAAAACTACCATTGAAGAGATATTTGCCTTTATACATTATCAATCAATTTGACCATTGGGCACATGATAGGTTCATCCACCCGCCTCCCACCTATAATTATCTCCGTCTTTTTTGCTTCAGACAGTGGGAGGCAGGTGGATGGGCCTATCACACGTGCAATGGCCAAATTGATCAATAATGTATAAAGCAAATATCTCTTCAATGGTAGTTTTTACACTCTGATGATGTTAGCAGAGGCTAACAAAAGCTAAGTGAATAATATATTTTAAGTTACGGAGATCGTGATGTCTGTCTCTTCTTTCATAGCTACACTTGGAACCTGTATTTTTAGGATAGTTCGATGTATGTATGTATGTATGTATGTATGTATGTATGTATGTATGTATGTATGTATACGTGTATATGCATGTATATATATGTATATATGTGTGTATATATATACACACACACAAACACACACCTCTTTAACACTACATAATTTTAATCAAACCCATCAATTATCTGTAACTAAGGTACAACTTTGAGGAATACCTTTAACAAATTAATCAACAACAAGTGTTGCATTTATCTATTTTCATATCCAGGCATGGCTACCAAATCTGGAAATGTGATGGGCTTTTTGCTACTGAGGCTTTGTATTTTATTAATTCCTGGAAACCTTTAATCTTGAAAAATGAGAAGAAACAGCATTACTGAATATGGAAGAACTGAAAACTTTGTCCTCTTTGTTTTATTAAGTTTGCTCAATACAGAAACTTTATGATTCTTGCTAACTAAAGTATAATTTAAATAATTTAGATTGTATAAACGAATGTTCTTTTCTTTTACTGTCCTAAACATTTGCACTTTTTGTTATTATGGCAGATTAAATTCACCTAAGTTTCAATAGGTCTAATACCTAAGGAATAATAATTCCATTGTATCATTACTTATTGTATCAAAATAAGCAGAAATCTATTCTGACAAAGTGAACAACCACAATAAATCTAAAACCTGATGAATGTAGACTTATTAATTAATCTGCTTCTGCTTATTGGGAATTCTTACTCTTTTGTTCATGTAGTGTTATGTCCTTTACTATTATATGAAGAATAAAAGTGAATGGTTTTCATAAAGGTTCTATTTAACTATTTCTCTTCCAACAATAGGATATTTATAAACACTATAATTTATTTGGCTCCTGTGAAATTTTAAGAAACAGGAAGAATCTACCTTTTCCATTTCTATTAAATACTTAGTGGTACATGGTCAACTGAAGTTCACATAGTGTCAGTATGTGATTATGGAGCTTATTCTTGGCACAAAACCAAACTTGATTGGAAATGGTACATTAAGAGTTTTAAGTAATTTTAAAATCTCAGGAATAATCTGTCAAAAAATTGTATTGCGCAAACTTATTTAAGATGAAAAGTAGATTAGAACTCCAGTAAGAATATAAAATTAATTGCAATCAGAATAAATAAACTTCTAGAATGGAACAGTTTATCCTGCATCTGATTTGTCTAAGATTAGTTCTTCATATCTTCTAGGAAGACATAAAAAAATTGTGAACAGATGGAACCCTGAAGCCTACAGTTTTTGTAGATGTTTTATACTCACTTACAAAGGAGTAGTTTTGCTAGAAGAGAAAAAAGTTTTTGGATTTACATTAAGATCAACTAAGAATTATTTAGTTATATGGGCTCAAATTCAAATGTACTTAAAGAATCTGGTACATAATTAGCATTAATGTATAAATGAGCAGAACTCTGACCCCGAGTTCCAGCCTTTAAATATAAACTTAATCAATTCTGATTGACCTCTACAACTCATACTATATGCTTTTTGTCCACAAAGCTGGTTTGCATAGGATATCTCTGTTCCTTAATGTCCATCCCCCCCCAAATTAGGATAAATAAATCATTGCAAAATATTCATTTTATAGCTAGTCATTTTGAGCAATCATAAAACCACTTCTGAGTTCAGCAATGCAATGCAATGCAATGCAATGCAATGCAATGCAATGCAATGCAATGCGATGCGATGCGATGCGATGCGATGCGATGCGATGCGATGAATGAATGAATGAATAAATAAATAAATAAAGCATTAATGACAAAATAAATACTTTTAATAAAATCAAACCTAACTAATGTTCTACTTCTTTTATCAATTTGCCAGTTGCTTGTCTGTTATTAGAATCCCAAGAAATTTCTTTGGTTATCAGACTTCAGAGAGAAATTGGTTGACATAGAATCATAAGCATTGATACTGTATTTTGGACCAAATGGTGCTGTTTATAATTACATTACAAAAAGTAGCTTTGGTAACCTGCCCAATTTGCGGCCAAAGGACAGAGAATGTCACAAATTGTTTACAGTAAGTGAAAGTTCAAGTAACTTTATATGTCCTAGAACTGACTGTTACAACTTGTGCACTTTAAAAAAAAAATTGTCTTTTAAATAAATTTCAGTGGTATTAAGATGGAGGTCAGTTAAAATGAAAGATTACTCTAATTGCAAATAAAGTCTACAAATCCCCAAACCTATTGTTTAGGGAAACTGTCATTTTGGCACACAAACATTTGGAGATCACAAAACTGTATATTGTCAACATGAGGGTTGAGCAATATAGCTCAAACCAAGTGAAATTTACTCACGTGCTGGGTATGTGTGAGAAGGTGCAGGGGGAAAGAAAGTCCTTTAATTATTATTGTTTCCTTTCTGTAAACGACAAATGTAAAAATTGAAAACACAATGTAGCATTCCCAAAAGAGTTGACCAACAATCTAGTTTTAATGTCATGTTTCTGACTTTGGTTAATAGTTTTCATTGTGAAGAAGCACTTGATACCTGAAAGACTACAATCACTCCTCCAGGTGGCAGGCTTGTACTCTCTTGCTTCCTAAGAACATTTAAATGTTTGTTGTCCTTGTCGCTGTTGTGTTCTTTTTCCACAAACAAAGTTCACATGTCCATAATGTACAGAAAAGGTAATAGTTATTTGGTTTATTTCTAAGTCCATTAAGAAAAAAATTGGCTTATTGGAACTAGTTCTAACAAACAAACACACACACACACACACACACACATACCCTAAGTGCTGTGGGGAGGGGGGTTCCTAGGAAATCCCACAAACATTTATAAATCTTCAGTCCAGTTTGTAGCTTTTTCAATCTTTTACTTACAAAGATAAGAAAAAGCATCTTTACAGATTTCCAATGTTTATAATGATGTTCATTTTTTTTTTGTCTGGGTGTTTTCCCCTTTATATCTATCCATTTAAGAGTCTTCTTTCAGAGAGTCTGTTAAGGGCTCCATTGGGGCTGCTGTTACAGGCTCATTCTGTTTTAGACGTTTAATTGTATTCTTCAGTGCTTGCCTTTTATTGCAGAACCATACCCTAACCACTTCCCGATCATAGTTCAGTTTCTGTGCAATTTCTGTCATTTCCTGCCCGGAGGGATGGGTGTTCTTCTCAAAATGGGCATTCAAGATTTCAAGAGCTTGTGGGGTGAAGGAAGTGCGCCTCTTGCGCTTTTTGGATGGTTCGCTTCCAATAAATTCAGTAAGGTTCTGCATACCTGCTCGATGGCGGGCCTCAGCCTCAGCCATCCATCGTTCAAGCACCGGCTTTATCTTCTGGGCACTTTTAGGGGTGATGTCCAGCTTTTCAAACCTGGCAGGATACAAAAGGCCAGGGTTCAGTTTGGCTGTCAGACTGCTAGCTATAGTGTTCTCTTGGGCTTCCTGTGGTAGGAAAAAGTGGCTTCTCAGGATGGTGTGTCTGAGGGGAAAATTGAAAAAGAAGAGTCTTTACACTGATGCTCTGCCAGGGTGGGACTTCCTGCCTGCCTGCCTAATTGACTGGCAGAGATAATTTACAACGGATTATAAAAAATTATCATGTCTACAATTATTGATATATTTCAGCAAGCAGACAGACAAATACAATCATACTGACAAAATGCTACTCCATCTAAATAGTTGCTTCAGTCTGGAGATTCATGTGAAATCAGAGGCTCACGTTTATCTTTGGTGCAGATGGTTTATGGTTTAATTTATTTGTATGCCGCCCTTTTCCCTGAAGGGACTCAGGGCGGCTCACAACTCAATGAACTGAGATGGGCCTCTCAGTTCATTTCTGTGAATCATGTTGACCCCATGCCCTTCAGTCTATTTGTCTAGGTCGACTTGCTTCACTGAAATGGATGAAACTCCAGCCAGAAGAACTATGTGTTTGCACTGGAAGGGCACCACTCTTCCTGGAATGGACTGTTCTTAAAGATATACAATATATTTCAGATTTAAGCATGTTCAAAACAATATATACTATGATCAAGCTGAACACAAATGTTAGAAATGGAAATGACAGCAATTGACTCTCTGGTTCTTTTTGTTTTATTTTTTTTTCTGGGAATTAGTTTTTTTTTCTTATAGTATACCCTGCTATTTTAATTTTGCAGATTGTTATGTTCCTAAATTCAGGTTTCATTTTCATTTTCATTTTCAAACAATTTTCACTGGTCAGAAGTTAACATTGCAAAATCTCCAAAGCAGGTGTAATCTTCAGTTCAAACAGCTGGACACATTGTAATTACCTTGAATATCCCCACAAGTAGTGTTACGAGAAACTCATGCCTTCCTGATAAAACCCAGCATAATAGTGAACTAATATGCTTTGGCATCAAGCTGGGTTTATTGTGGCATGTCTCCACACTGTGCCAAATGATATCATTTCCTGTAGATGAGGTGTCCGAGGTCTCATTTTACCATCAAAACTCTTTTACTGGACCAGATTTTACAAGTCAGTTTGCAGTACCTGCAAAAACATTTCTAAACTAAACTGAAGATTTTATTTCTCTTAAAATTAAGCCATTTTAAAGTCTTACATTATCCACTAGTTGTAACTTCAAAGATTATAGTGTTTTACATTCATTCCTAGAAAAAGTCCAACTTAATCCTTGAGATGCCTTGGCAAAATGTGTAATGAGATTAAAAACAGGAATAGTCTATCAATCTCAAATTCAGCCATCACAGAAAAGTGATTTCTCCCAGCTGATGCTCCATAATTAAAACACATAAATAACAAAAAAAAAATGCCTGTAACTTTGTATCTCAATGATAGTAACAAGAGAGGATGCATAAACCATTTATTAGGGCTCTCTGCCCCCCACTTCAAACTAGCCTTTAGACTATTAAATTCAATTCACTTATAAGAAGCAAGTGGATGGAATGATATCAAAGAGGACTTTCTAAAATGGGATAAATTGCAATTATCATGAATGGGTAGAATTTTTGTAATTAAGACAAATGTTTTACTACCAAAGATGTTTTTTTCTGTTTCAGACATTAGCAATACTTGCAACTGATACTGCATTTAAACAATAGCAGATGGATATTTCCAAGTTTATATGGTAAGGGAAAAAACCAAGAATTAGATACAAATGAATTGCAAAATGCTGAGGAAAGGTGGTGGTGGTGGGGGTTGGATTTACCAGATTTAAAATTGTATTATACTTTTTTGTCTAGCTAAAAGAGTAGGTTAATCTTCAGAATAAGAAGTTACTTGATTTAGAAGGTCATGAATTATTTACGGAATGACAAGATTAAGTAAATGTAGAAATTAATAACTATTTTATTAGATGTGGTATCCTAAGAGTTTGGAATAAATATAAAGCAAGGTTTCCTGTGAAGATGCACCTCTGGGTGTATCCCCAGGAAGCTTTTTTCAGAAAGGAGATAGTGGCAAAAAGAACTGGTGGACTTATGGTCAAATAATATTTTTTAATTTTGGTGATCCTATCCTCAAATCTAAAGAAGAATTGGACGCAAAAGGACATGCATGCCATTGGTTTACATATTTACTATTGAAAGAAAGATTTAAATAAGATGAAATGAGTTATGGGTGATTTTGTGAAAAATGAATTGGAAATCCTACTGCATGGTAGTGATGAACACATTATTGCTAAGGTCTATAAATTGTTATTGAATTTGAATTTGGAGAATGAATATGTAAAGCATTGCATGATTAGGTGGGAAAGAAACTTTGGATGTAATATAATGCTTAAACAATAGGAAAATATGTGGACAAACATTCTAACATTTACACTAAATTATAATTTAAAAGAAAAATGTTATAGGATGATGTATCTTTGGTATTTAAAATGAGAAGTTGTCAAGAATGTATAAAGGCATTTCAAATGAATATTGGAAATGCAAATATAAAGAAGAGACCTTTTATCACTTACAGTAGACATGTTATAAAACAAAGAAATATTGGAGTAGGATTCACATCTTAATATAGAAGATTCTCAAAGTGAATATAAAGATAAAACCACAGAAACCTTTCTTCTGAGTTTAATGGAAAAAAGACTTGGAAAAAAATTGGAACTTTGATGTTATATATGTTGATGGTAGCAAGTTTACTTTATGCACTAAAATGGAAGGACAAATTGATTCCTACAATGGATGAATGGTTGCAAAAGTTAATGGAGTTAGCAGAGATGGCCAGACTGACTGCTTTGGTCAAAGAAAATTACTTTTGTTTCTACTTGGAAATCACTTCTGGACTTCATGCTTGAGGTGAGGAAAAATGAAACTTTGATTTTGGATTTTGTTATAGAAACGATTAGTTTATATTATTATGTAAAAGTAAAAAGTTGAAGTTTGACGCTATTATTCTATTGCAACAAAGGGAATTGGAAGTCAACACTTTTTCTTTTCCCCCTTTGCCCTATACTTTCCACTTCCCTTTTCCTTCCCTTGTTTTCCTATAATATGTGTCACCTGAAATGTGTATTGTAGGGTAAGAAGTAATGACTCTGTTATTTTGAGATTAAGTCTACTTTCTCTCCTTTTTCAATAATAAATTATATATTATGTTTGGACTGTTCAAAGTGTCACAAATATTTGAGAGAAAATTCACAAAGTAGCTTTGAACCAAACCCAGGTCTCATTAATCCATTAATGATGGTTTGAAAAACAAAGAAATAAATGATTTCCCTATTAAGGAAAACCTCTGAATCATAATTCTAGTGATGGCCTTAGAATTTTTTTGCTTAGACAAACATTAAATGTCAGTTTCATGTCTCTACTGGATTAAAAGAACTGGAGCTGAAAACACCACAATGATCCATCCAACTTAATTAATGCAGCGAGGATGCCCTTTCATGTTCCTCAGAACTGTCACACAACTTTGCCATTCTTACACGTTCATAATGTTATACTTTAGTCTTGAGCTCAGCCCTATTGGATTCTTTGCACAACTAATGAAAATTTTGTGCTTTGCATTAGGCTTGTCGTTCTTCCTAAGTAGTAGTAGCTCTTCTTTATAAGATGATTGAAGGACCCGAAGAGAGGAAAATCCTTTCTATCTGTAGTAGTTTTTGATTTCTTAATGATAGAGTGACTTTGCCATATTTCTCCATGTTGTTTTGAATGCAGATATTAATTGTAAGTTGTTTGTATCTTTTATTATAGTTGCAACTTTCATAATAATTTTCTTATATACAGTATTTCCTATGATATGTAACTGCAACCCTGTTATGGAATTGAATTAAATGACATTTGCTGTTCATTAATAGTTTAAATTTAAATTACTATCAGCATCAGTAATAATTCAGGTTCACTGGATTTTAAGGCACATATTTCCAAGCTTCCTGAGTCTTTAGAAATTGCATTAGCCAGTAACCTCCACCCTCTCCAAAAAATCTCAGGTAAATCAAAATCCAAAAACCTATAAAAGATTTGAAAATATAATATTCTGTATTAAGGTACAATATTATTATAAATTAAGGCAATATAACAATACTGAACACATTGCTTTACAAAACAAAACCTGCTAGTTCTGGTTTTATTCATCAACTAGCCTAGAGAATATAAATTATATTAAAATTAAATAATTAGAAAACCAGATTTATATTAAGAAGTGTCTTGTTAACATTTGTACTTCTGCATTGGTATCTAAGTCTTGAAACAAATTTCCTAGCAGTGGTATCCTTGTATACACTAGATAAAGGTTATTTTCTGCAGGGAGGTATCTTATAAGAAAAAACAGTAGGGGAGGCCATAGAAGTGAGAGGATCCTATGGAGCTTTTTGTATTTAACAACAATCAATGGGTTTTATGGAAAATCATTGAGCAAAATGTGAGCTGCAAGCTCACTACCCCATACTGATGTTATTTATAACCTTAGTCTTAAACTGCAGGAAAAGTACACTTCCATACTATGGGGAATACATTAGAAGTATAAAGAGCAGATAAAAAGACAGAGCATTTCGTGGATCACCAAGAATAAAATCCACTTAAATGAACTTAGAGTTCATTTCTTGGCTCTCATTGATGGAAGAGAACTATTAGACTATGTGGCCCAAGAGGAAAAATCTGTTACCTAAGTGGGTTTGTTACCTCATGCATAAACATAGGATTAGTAACATACATATATGAAGACCAAGGTGCTTTGCTTTCAAGATACTTTAACTCTATCAAGGCTACTGTATTTTCATTATTTTTCACTATGCTCTTGAATATTATTATTCTTTTTCTAAATACATATTTTTGTTTTGAAACACTTTAGGAAGATATATAATTAATTCTAGAAAGCCCAAGAAAAATATTTTCATTGGTTTACCTCCCCCCACCCCCAGCATTATAAAAATCACCACAAATATCTTACAGGTAACATGGATTGTGGCCTTACAGGCTGAAATGTAGCAGGTAGGCACATGAAATAATTGTTCAGAATTCACCCCAGTAAAAATGCATAGTTTGAAAGCATGCAAATACAGGTAATAAACAGGTACCACTTTGGTGGGAAGATAACAGTGTTCTGCGCACCTTGGAGTATAGTCATGCCAGCCACATTGATCACAGCAATGTCTTTGGACAATGCTGATTTCCTCAGCTAAGACATGGAGATGCCTTGGCTAAGACACGCCCCCTAAAATTGGACATGATTAGAACAGGGGAACCTTTACCTTTAAGAAGCTTAACTGGTGTTTGATAGCAGCAGCCACAGGGTCTCCAACTCCATGCTGTCTTAAATTTTATAACCAGGAACATATTTAATGCTCCCAATTTGTTTTTGCATAAACAATTACATTTTTGGGTGTGGGAAGATGAAAATTGTGTTAAAGCCAGGTGATAAAATATGTCAGTGTTTGTTCATATAAGGCTGCTCTGCTGGACATATAGATAAAATTTTACTATAAAGGCAGCAAGCAATAAGCCTTAAGAGAACAAGTTTGGCGAATTGAGGACAGACTACACATTTTGTTACCTGCAGATGGCAGACTGGCTGTAGGCTGGACCCTCCGTGGCACTTAGAGCTTGGCCGACTTGTGTCTGAGTGAGACCAAGAGACAGGCGTCGGATTTTAAAAGCTTTGGCAAATTCTCGTATTTCTTCAAGATTCACCCCATCCACCTCACTAGAGGCTATTTGGGGATCTGTTGAAATAATAGAAAACAATTTGAATGTCTTCAGGTCCTATACAATTAAATTAAGGGAATTATTTCCAATAAAGCAAGGGAAAGTCTCCTACATCCAAATAGTTTTGCAAGACATAAAGCAAGTGTTTTAGATTAATAACAGGTTTCCCATCTTCAGTTGAAAAAGAGCAGAAAGAGGAACATTAAAAAAACAATGCATGTTATCAGGCTATTTTGCAACATATTGAGTTCTTGACTTGCAAACCTTCAGTTTTTTCACAAACTGAATTTCAGGTAACATAAGCAGCTACTCAGAACTATAGATTGTTTTCCTAATAGCATTCAATATGTCTTGTTTTTGGAAAAAGGAATTCTTAAATTTCAAATGGAAATTCTTTGTGTTGCATCTAAAGTACTTGCATTTTAAAGTTGTTAGGACATTTTAACTGAGAGATTTGTTAGGCATGTGGAAGTCCAGCCTTCCAATTGTAACACTGATCCCCATTTAATTTTTAATTGGCCCCTCAGTAGATAATACTCATAGTGTTGAGAGATAAAATGGACTTCTTTGACAACAGTTTTGTCCCGAAAGGGGACATAATAAAAGCTATCTACTAGAGGAAGACATTTTTGATGCTGGAAGCATTATCAGTTTAGGTTTTATTGAGGGAATTAGTACAGCAGCTGGGAATAGCATTTCTTTCTCTTTCTGCAACTGATTCCTTGATAAATGAAGCATTCTCCAGACTGGTAAAGGCAGCACACAATAGTATGGTGGAAGATTTGAAAGTTTTATTCAGTTCTACATGTATTGAAACTCTTGTTGTATACTGTTTTCATATTATTTTTAGAGAAAACAAAGATGCTCACATAATAGCATATTTTTCTAAATATATGTCATTAATGTTTATATTTAATCTGGATAAAGATTTCTACTCCAGATGGGTAACTTTAATAAGTAAACAAACAAACAAACAAACAAACAAACAAACAAACAAACAAACACTAGCTAATATTAGATGATGTCTACCATTGAGAATTTGGTCTTTGAATGCCTGTGATAGTCTGTGATAGACATCACTAGAGGTATTGTAAAATTCTGCTCAACCTATGTGTCTCAATAGCATTATGAACAGATAAAACAAACAGAAATACATAAAATATAGTCTGTCACAAAATTAAATACATTTTACAGTTCTAGATAATTACCTTTCCTTTGTGGCTCATTCCCAAACAATTCATCTGCTTTCACTAAATGCTACAGGTTAGAATGAGCAGGACAGAGACTCACAATTTGTTAGACCTATACTAGTGATTGTAGAGAAGCTATTTTTGTTGACGTGTTACCAGCATCCAATTATAAATGTATCCTCATTTAGACCAGCAATCTCTTGGTTCTGCCCCATCTTTAGGTTCATTACCATTTATGAAGTACCAGTTGGTCTTCCTTCCATTTAACAATTGTAGGCAGTCCAAAAGGGAAAAAAAATAACCTATTGGGCCTTCTTTATTTGTCAAGCCTATTTTCATGGTCATCTGTTTGAGTTTTCCTAGTGCATATAGGATATATACCCTAGGAATAGAGTATAGAGTATGCAGAATTTTACTATAATTTTATGTGTAACATTCAGTATTATCTACATTAGTGGTTTCTTTCCCTTTACGACAACAGTATGTATATACTCATACAAAATAGCTCTTGGGAATCGTTTGTCCATTGTCAAAATGACTATTATGCTACACTTAGGTATCTGCTCTCCTTCCCTCTTCCTTATTGTTTAAGACATTTTAATATTCCTGCTTGCTTTTCTTTTTCTAAGCAGTAGGACTCACCTTTAAACCTATCACCAGGCTGCAATAACTGGCCATCATTTTTATTTTTTGTGAGAGCGTATAATCCCAAATGAGACAAGAGATACCATTGAAAATAAAGCTAAGGCTGGAGGCTGACACATGGCTTCACAGCATGGCACTTTCTCATCTTTATAGGTAAGAGGTTAATTAGGGAAGAACCCTGATGAAGGAAAACTACCTGTGGACACACTGATAGAAAAACACTTATTTATATTTATATTAATAAGCAGCTGTGATTCAAGATTTCAGCAAAAGTCTTTTCTTGATCTAATTGCAGTAGCCGAATATTAAATATTTGCTGCATAAAAAATGGATAACCTATACTGAGGTAGGCCTTTTCCTCTCTATTATAGATATATATTTTTGCTTTGAAGATGAGGAAAAGTGAATATATTCAGCCAGAATTTAGAATTAATATGTCTTTCAGTTGACCAACAAACCTTTTCATCAGTTAATATAATGAAACCTTTGCAATACTTGGATGTTATACTGCACAAAAGCACTTGAAGCAGATTTTTTTCCTGAAACTGTAGATGTTGTCCCTGGCTGCATTTTTAATAAAAAATTAGGCTCATAGTATAAAAAAAATATCTAACCTTTTAGGTTCTTCTGGTGATTAAAAACCAAGATAGATAAGCCTGACCATGAGATACTGATACATTTGATGTACTTTTTTCCAGCATGGAAACTTGGGATCCAAGCTATATTTTGTGTTTACAGTCCTCAAGGACTGAAATCTAAGGAAGTTATTCAAAATCCTAAAAGTATTTGAGATCAGTGATGAACTACATGAAAGAAAGCAAATTGTAACTTAGCTTAGCTCAGATTATACAATGGTATCCTCATTAATTAAATGAAACATCAGAGAATTGGTGCAAATCAATGCAGCAATTTTGGATATTGTTTTGAAGGGAATGTCAAAATAAAAAATAAAGACTCCTTTGTGTCGAGCTTAAGTTATATTTGCCACACAGATTTATTGCTTCTATTTTGGTTTCCTTTTATTTTCCTGGGGCTGTTTGGTCTTCCCCAATTCAGGTTGGACTCTGTTTAGCTTTTTGAGATAATTTGCCACTGGCACTTGATGTGACAAATATTTAATAAAAGAAATGCTTCCCTCATTCAATGGCTTCTTATTCAATGTCATTAGGTTCACCCTGCATTCTATTTTTCTAGGTCCATAATGGTGAACCTATGGAACACATGCCACAGGTGGCACGCAGAGCCATATCTGAGGGCAGGCGAGGCATTACCCTATGTCAGCTCCAGCACTGGCCAGCTGATTTTTGGCCTTCTGGAGGGTTTTCACCGTTTTCGCCCTCCCCAGGCTTCTGTGCCTCCTGTGGATGGTGGAAAACTCAGGCTTTCCTGAAGTTCCGGTAAGCCTGTTGGGCCTATTTTTTTGCCCTCCACAGGCTGCTCGGGCTTTCCTGAAGCCTGGGGAGGGTGAAAAATGGCCGAATGGCCTACTGGAAGGCCAGAGGTTTCAGTGAAGCCTGCGCACATGCACAGGGGAAGCACTGGGGGGAGGTTGTGCGCACATATGCTGGGAGGAGGGCATTGCATTATGGGTGTAGGCCCCCTTTTGGCACCTGAACAGAAAAACCTTCACCATTCCTGCTCTAGGTAATACATAAGACACTGGTGCTTTAACAATGGAGTTCTTTACAACATCATAGAAACACAGATTTCTTGGTTATCCCAAATCACCTCAGCACCCAGATGTAGTCTAAGAGAAAATAAGAGGTCCCATCTGGAAGAAAAGGGGAAAAATTATGCATTCTTGCTCAAATACACCAGGAACATGCATATACACTGAACAAAATTGACACAACAATACTGAGTTTCTCTGAGCTGGCAAAAAAATAATCCACATAATTTCCACTTTTCAGCTACTATCCTGCTTTTTGCAATATATATCTATATTTCTGCACAGGTTTTCCCCCCTAAGAGTAAGAAGTAGTTTTAAAATATTTACAACCTCTATCTTTGTTTCTACTGATAGTGTTGGCATGGACATGGGGAAGGAGGCAAGGAAGGCAAGTTATGAAATATACATGGTGGTACAAACATTTCCCCATATGTATTGGTGTGCCATGTTGCAGTGCACATATGAAAGGACAGAACTTATGTCATAATATCATGATGCATATTTTGTCATTATTTTGGTTATTATTTCTGTAACCTATAAGGGTTAAATAGAGAGACTTCTTTTTTAAACTATCTCAAAAGTTTTTATTTTTTCCATGTAAAAAGAAGAATCTTTTCCCATAAAATGTATATGTTAATTATTGTTAATTATTAATATTCATTCCTTGACTAAAATAATTCAAAAGCAGGACTAGGACTTTAAGAAATCAAAGGGACAGAAAAGTTACTACAAATGTTTGCCTTATCGGTTATAGTATGGTTAGTTGATTAATTCATCATGTGCCATGATAATATATTCTTAACCTGGTCTCTTTCCACAGGGTACCAATTGCAACTATAATTGAGTCCATCCACTTTGCTGCAAGTTGTCCTCTTCTACATTTATTTGTTGCTGTGTCTACACACAAACACACACACACACCATATAAAAACCCAATGGATCATTGAAATTAAAAATCTGAATATACATTCATACACATACACCTATTTTCATATACATGTGTGTGTGTGTGTGTGTGTTCATATTTTTAATTTAATTTAAATCCAGGCATTATGGCTCTTATTTGTGTGGAGAACTACTACTTCCACATTCTCTTGCCTTGCATATGTAATGTTTGACCAGTAGTTCAGTGTTTTTTTCCTCACTCTCAGCAACTTTTAAGATGTTTGTATTTCAACTCTTAAAATTGGAGAATTAAGTGCACACATCTTAAAAAGTGCTGAAGTTAAGAAACACTGCCTTAATTTTATACCACCTTTTTTCAAAGCTATTTTCTTGTTGTGTGAGGCAAATTTGTAATGTGTGCTGGAAGTTGGGGAGGGTTTAAGATAGGAGAAGACTTGTAAGACTTCTTAATAGGCGGGAGCTCTTACAATAGGAATTCAGTTTTGTATATTTCAGTTCCAAAATAAAAAAATCTTCTAGATAGAAAACAGCCCCTAAAAATGGGAAAAAAACTCCAGTATTTCTTGATTGACTTATTTCTAATCACATATATGATATCACAAGAATTAATGTACACTGCATAAACATTTTCTAATTTGAATTTAGTCCAAAACATTTCATGCTTACAGTTTCTCTGTGCCTCTTCTATTTGTATTACTTAGCAATTAATGATTTATTAGTTATTCTAATAATTTATTACAGGAATTTTTATGTTACTTCAATCTAGTCAATTTATAATAATCACACAACAACAAATAACAAACCATGCTGCCCAATCAATATATCACCCCATTGCACTATATCTTACACAGAATAATGTAGTATTCTGATTGCATCCACTGCCCCAAAGGCTCTTTGAGACAGCATTTCATAAGTCATTGAAAGATCATAGGGATTGCCTCCCACAGATTCCCAATAATATAAAATCATATAAAAACAAGACAAACAGTAGCTAGAGAAACTAGTAGACCAATGAGAAAATAGGACAAGAGTGCAGTACTTACTGTTGACTAATTGGCCAACACTCAAAGCTGAAGATGAGGAGGAGGAGGAGGAGGAGGAGGAAGAAGAAGCCTGACGCACTGGGCTTTGAGATATAGATGCTTGACTATGAGTCAGGTGTAGAAGATTGGTCTGTGAGGCTGTTTGTCCTACTTGTGCTTGAGAAGGTTGATGGAGCTACAGACAAAGACAAAGACATTTTCAGCAATAAAATTAAGATGTAGCTAATAACTATCACCAGGGGTGAAATCCTCCAGGTTTGGCCCGGTTCTGAAAATCAGTAGTAAAAAAACAGCTTCTGAGGATCGCATGGCTCAGCTGTGAGCCACGCAATCGTCGGAAGCTCCCCCCCCCCGCTTTTTAAAGCATTTTTTTCCTGCCTATTTGCTCAAACCGGCAGGAAAAAAATGCTTTAAAAAGTGGGGGGGGGAACCTCCGATGATCGCGTGGCTTACAGCTGATCTGCTGTAAGCAGAAGGTACCCCCCCCCTTTTAAAACATTTTTTTCCTGCCAGTTCAGGCAAATAGGCAGGAAAAAAATGTTTTAAAAAGTGAAAAAAAGAGCTTCTGATGATCTCACAGATCAGCTGTGGACCACACGATTGTTGGAAGCTTCCCCCCTACTTTCTAAAGCATTTTTTTCCTGCCTATTCACCCGAACTTGCAGGAAAAAATGCTTTGAAAAGTGAAAAAAAGTTGGCCACGCCCACCCAGTCACATCACCCCACCACTACCTAGCCACACCCACTGATTCTCTCCTATCTCCACCATTTCCCCTCACTGGGCTCCTGCAGGCCTCCTCACCCTGTATCATCTTTGTGACTTATCTTTCAAAAGTTTCTGGAGTTTGAGTTAGGGATTGGGGAAGAATGCTGCATTCTTTAGTGTGCGGCATGAACCAGAAGTGTCCTCCACTTTTGGAGTGGCTGCAATACAATGCCATTCCATAAATGGGATTGTGCCACACAGCCCAGGAACAAAGAGGCCTGCTCTGCTTTCCTAATGCAAGTTCTGCAGCAATCTGCAGTGATCCACAGGCCCCAGAGATCACATTAGGGAAGTTGAGCAACCAACTCTGTCCCTGAGAACTTACTCCTGGAAGAGAGCACCATTTTAGAATGGCTACAATTATTTACAATTCATCTAAAAGCTCTGGAGATTAGATTCGGGAGATCTCTACTACTATCTGCAGAACTCCAAAGATCCAATGGAGAAGAGCATGCCATTCCATCCTTAGGCCATACGGTTTGCTTCAGGCTTAACACTTGCTTCCAGAAGCAAACCACATGGCCTAAGGGTGGATCTCTAGAGTTCTGCAGATAGTAGTAGATAGCCTGAATCTAATCTCCAGAGCTTTTAGAAGAAGAGCTACAAAGATAAGTGAGTGATCAGTGATGATGGGATGAGGAGGAGCATACAGGACTCAGTGAATGGGAAGCAGGCCAAAACCTAGGAGGTCTCAGGGGACAGGAACGGGATACTCTGCTTAATGACCCCTTTAATGTTTAATATTCTGCTTAATGGCTGCATTAATGCTCATTTACTTGTTGGCCTGGCTTGAGAGGTGACAGTGTGATTCCTTGTGTGTTGATTACTGGCAATATCTGGTTTCCAATTACTGTTGCAATGATTTGACCTTGGGAATTGGTCAATAACTGTGGTGTAATTGGCTGTACTTGAAAGCCCTGAGCTCCTGCTGCTGCTTGATTGGATGAGACTGGATTAGGCATTAGTGGAATTGTTCCAATAATCTGAAAGAAATAGAAAGCAGAAATTCTGTATATTATAAATATTTTATTGTGAAAGTAATACATCTAGGAACACAATGTATTTTAACTGCCTTGAAACCCACATTTTGTCCAACTAATGTATTAGTTGTGACCATATATGGTAACTGATATACTGTAAATCAGCAGTCTTTATCAAACTGTCTTCCTGCATTCTAGTATATTTTGCTTGCCTTCTGCTATTCTTCCTTTGAAGTCTTGAATTCCAGAATAGCAAGGAACATGTTTTAAAGCTAACAGAGGAGATCAACTGATCAATTGGAGATGCCTAAGATTCTCTCAACAAAGTAGTGGATAATCTTCTGGTGGCCCATAGCAATAGCTTTGGGGAGAAAAAGGCCACCGGGGAGGGGGGGGGACAATGGTGCAAATAGCTTGATACTACAGAATAAACAGTTTTTTTTTACATTATAACAGTTTTTTAAAATGTTCCCCCGCCACACACATTAGTCTCAATTTTGAGATGATTGATTTCTTGTTAACCTGTGCTATGCCTGTTTTAGGATCCCCTACACTGTAGTATGTGTAAATTTTCCATCTAAAATAGCAATAGCACTTACTTATATACTGCTTCATAGTGCTTTACAGTCCTATCTAAGAGGTTTACAGAGTTAGCATATTTTCCCCAACAATCTGGTTCCTCATTTTACTGACCTCGGAAAGATGGAAGGCTGAGTCAGCCTTGAGCTAGTGAGAATCAAACTCCTGGCAGTGAGTTAGCCTGCAGTACTTCATTCTAACCACTGCACCACCATGACAATGAAGGGAAATTCTATCATCAATTTTCAGCAACCACTCAAAGAAGCTTGTATGAGTAAGGTGACCAGATTTTAACATTGGTAAAGAGGGACACCATTGACCGGGGGGGGGGGGTGTTCTTGATTAAAAATTTTTAAAAAATCGGGACTTTTTAGTTAATGCTACTTCAATCCTCATGAAGGAATAATCCAATTGAATTGATTAGGAATAAGATATTCTGATAGAATAAATAGTCTATGGTTCATTTATTTTTATTATTTATTAGATTTTTATCCCACCTGTCTTATTTTTACAAATAACTGAAAGGCAGAAAACATAGCTAATCTTTTTTTTTAATATTTTCCACATAACAACAACCCTGTGAGGTGGGTTGGGTTGAGAGAGAACGACTGGCCCAAAAGCAGGACTCAAACTCATCTTCCCAGCCCTTTCACCACTACACCAAAAGGCTCTCATTTAGTAGGAAGACATGGAAGAGGGTTTTTTTAGTGTAATGAGGGAAATGGGGGGAAATTCGGCTTGAAACAAGATTTCTGGGATAGGGTCTTTCTTTTTTGGGTTGGCTTTAATGCCCATCTCTTGGCATTCTGGGAGTTCTGGGAGTCCAAAGGAAGCTTTGACATAAATATTATTTTTGCTCCACTAGAAAAGGCCAAAGTGAGAGGGAAAGGCACTGATGGTGGAGGAAGATGAAAAGTGAACTTTAATCACATTCACTTTTCATCTTTCTCGCCTGCTTAATTATTTTTATTAGTTTATCAGAATATAAAAGACAAAAAAATGAAAATAAGGGGAAATTAAGAGTGGAAAAAGGGAAAAAGGAGAAAGTGTGTGATAGAAGGGGAAAAGCGGGGAGGAGGCATTGACTTCGGACTCTTTTTTAGCACAGTAGAAGATAATAACATTACAACCTCACCTTTTTACTTTTACACAATAATATATACTACCCAATTCTATAACAACAAACTATCTAATCAGGAAAACCAAAATCACAATTTCATTTTTTCCACTGCAAGCACAAAATTTAAAAGTGGTTTCCACATGGAAACTAAAATAGATACGTTCTTTTCTTTGAATAAAGCAATCAGTTTAACCATCCCTACTTTTCATCTTGCTGTGATAAATAACATATAATTCTGTTCACACCTATTAATCTTTATAGACTATCATCATTTATATTAAAAGAGGAAAAATCTTTTTTTACATCCATTTTAAAACTCTAAACTTTTCTTTAAAAATATTTAGCAAGAGGGAAAGGCAGAAGGAAAATGCCCCCTTTTTCCTGTGCCTCAGTTGCTATGGGAAATGAAAGGACCAGGGTCCCCCCCCCACGCTGAAAAGAACCCCTGAAGAACTTTGTGCAGTGCACAGCTCCATTTCGGTGCCTTTTACTGCTCAGTTTGGTGCCATTTCCATCAAAGATTTGGAAAAGTTTCTTCTTCTTTCCTTATGCTATAATTTTGACTCTGAGAAGGGTTTGCTGTTCTTTCTGACCTTTAAAATGATACATTTCAATGACACTTTCTCTGTGCTTGCCTTTAAGAAGCATTCCAAGTCAATCCAGAATGATGTAGATGTTAATACAAAGAACTGAGCAAATTAAAATGGTGAAATTAGTCAGGGAAATATTTTTCAAAGAAACCTTGCCACCATTTTCCCCACACAAGCCGACCTCCAACCTCCATGCCCCTCCCCTCCGGGAAATCCAGGAAGGAACAGTTGCTACTTCTCTAGCCAAAGTATTTCCTGCAATATTTCCTTCTATGGTACTGGGTCATCTTTTCTTATAAAAGGAAGTAAAAGGGGCGAGGGGGTTCCATTTTCTTGCTTTAATGTTTTAATATCTTCAATGAAAGTACTGAGACATAGAGAGGGGTTAGACAGAGTGTCTTTTATCTTGCCCCGGTTAGGATTTCTTAAGCAAATCCACTGCGCTTTCAACATGAAGCCAAAATCGGGACTTTTTTAAAACGCCGCAGGACGCGGGACAAATTGTTAGAAATCGTGACTGTCCCACCAAAAGAGGGCTGTCTGGTCACCTTATGTATGAGTCACATAAAGAGGTTCCAGAAGCTATTTGTAATTCCTGAAGATACAGAGGATATAATCCCAATCCCACTTTTATCAAAAAAACTTTCATTCACTCTGAAGTTATTGTAGAGTGGAAAACATTTTTGAAAGTAGAGTTCTGAATAACTGCTGATCCAACTAATCATTTGGCTGTTAAAAGCCTATTGCCTACAAGCAACATTGCCTGTATGAAAATCACAATTCTAATATCTCATACACCTGTATCTATATCAAACTATATCAATCTTGGTAACATGTAGCATTTTAATTACAGATAATCCTAAAATCAATTTAGGATATTAATATTTAATTCTCTTAAGTGAACAATAAAGTTTCCAAACATATTTTTAATATTATTCATTAGTAGAGAATCCAGTATCAATGGATATCTGCAAGAACATATTTCAACTTGCATTTTAAGATGTAAGATCCAAGATATGTGTTCAACTTTATAGTAAATGGGTAAAATATTTTAAAGGGTTTTTTTTAGAATTTTTATTTTATTTTGCTCCACTGATTTCAGCATTAAGAGTGTTGATGAAACTTAAAAACTTATTTTTCTGTTTCATTAATTTTCAATATCAAATTTACCTTCACACTAGAAAGGTAATTAATTTTACAATGACTAGTTGGACTGTTACAGAAATATTTTAGCGTACATTCAGATTATGAGTTGCTACATTATGATTTTATAATAATGTCAAACTAAGCTATTGATTTCTTTAATGGGTTGCAAAAATGTTTCAAGATTAAAGTAGCAGGGTACTGAGCTCAAAACAAAACTCGTGTTATGTAAGTTTGGTTCAAAACTTTCAGACAGGGAGAAGATTTTTTTACACATATGTACACAGATATTTGCAGTGTTTTAAAATATAAATGAAATCATGAAAACAGCTAAGTGATATCCTGCATGTCAATATATTCTAGACCACATATTCCAGATTGAATCCTTGTTAGGGGACTTACAATAGGAATAAATGAACAAGACTTCAGGTTTTAGAATTATTTTGAGTGGTTCTGCTAATGCAGAATTCAGGTTTGTAATCCTATAAAACTTGGAATGAATATAACTAGAGGCATTCTACCTTTAAATGCTATGAAAGAAAAATAATTATCATTCTTTTAATGGTATTAACAGAAATCTTACCTCACAAAAGACAAAGGACATAGGTTTGAACTGTCATTTTTGGCCCTGTAACTCAGAAAGCCTCCATTGCCCATAAGGCAAAATTTTCTGGACTAGTTTTATGGTGTAATAGAAATGTTTATTTGGGGACTTCCGTGGGAGGAGCTGTCGTCGTCGGGGGCTCAACGGAGCTCCCCTCAGAGTTCTGGTCTGTATATCTAAAAGATCTATAGATATCTCTCCTTTCGGGCAAGGAAGGGGCAGGGAGGAACTCAGTCGTTAGAATTCTCTTTGTTGTTCACAGCCTTTTGTTTTTCGCTGTGAACGGAGAAGAGGTTCAACATCAAAGCTGAGGTTTTTTTTTACTCCAGCCAGATCTTCTCAGCTGTTTTTTTCAGCACAAGGCAGGTCATCCTCCCCCCTTAGGACAAATCTAAGCTATTTAAAACCGGTCCGAGCAGCGACCATTCCTGAAAACCTTTTTTGTTTATTATTATTTAAAATACCAGCTTCAATCTTACAAAAACCTCCTTTGCTGAACCGTTTTTCAAAATGGCGATTTTATAGCTTTCGCAGTTGATATATGATATATTTAATCAGCCCTGTTTCCCTGAAGACCTCTCTTTATTAACTGCCAAAGTTTACTCAAAATATTTTATTTTAAATCAAGGTGCCTAGAGACTTTATTTGTTCTTTTTTCTTTTA